AAAAAAAAAAAAAAAAAAAAAAAAAAAAAAAAAAAAAAAAGCCAAAACTTCAAAGCATATACATAATGGTTTATGTATTGCTTATAAAATGAGAAAGCAAACACTGCTTCCAATTTATATATGTAATGGAAATTATTAAATGATGTTGGGAAGTAAACATGGTAGACACATAGCATGTTTGTGCAGTTCCAGTCAGTGTCGGGGATATGGTGATCTTAGATTAACCTCTGCATTTCATTAATGCAATAGTTTGAAGGCAGGTTACCTTGTGTGGCATGAAGAAGGTGGCAGTGAAGAATCAGGATTTGCAGACAGCTGTGCTGCATGTGCCCATGTGTCCCAAGGAACCAGCATCTGTGCTTTATGAGGAGGGCAAGAGAGGGCCATGGCTACACAGTGTGCTGGCCAGCTGCTGAGGTGAGGTGGTGCTGTATCATCACCGAGCTTCTGGCTGCTCTACCAGGACCTCATCTCCGCTGCCCCCCGTTAGGCAGCTCCTGACATCTGGCCAGCATGTGCCTGCCCTGGGTGTGGGGGCCAGGCAGCCTCCCCCAGCCCCATCCTCCTGCTTTGTGCCAGGGTGGATGAGAGCAGATTGCTAAAGACGAACCAGGATTGTTTGCAGAAATACCATAGACCTTTATTAGCTAGTATTTGTTATTAATATTTTAAAATTTTTGGGATATGCCTTATTTAATCAGCAATTCTCTATTTAGTCTTAAACTAAGCAAGAACTGGAATAGAGGGAAAGTAAGAAACCCTATATATAAACCCTCATGTTGAAGTGTAGACACACTGACAAAATTCAGGCAGCTCAAAATGAGAGATGACATTTTGTCCTTAATTTGTACCAGTGGGAAAAAGGATGTGAAAGGATGTAAATTGGGCACAGAATATCAACTGGGATTTGTGTTCCCACACACATCTAAATGTTAACAATGAATTTAGTCTTTGAAGCTTTCAGTAAAAAACATCTTAAGGAAGTTAAACAAAAATCTGTGCACTGTAAAAATTTTAATTTGATAACAGTCACCAGTTTGAATTAATTATTAAATGTAACAATTTACTTCTCCATTTTAAAACATTTATTTGGGGTTGTATATATGTTCTTTTAGAAAGCTTGCTAAAGGACATGGAAATGTGGTGTATACTGGGCATCTTTAAATATATAAAGCAAAATTCCAACGCAAAGCAGTAGCTCTGGTTACACTGTAGCAATATAAGTTTCTAATACATTAAATACTGAAAAAAACCTTCAAATTTCCTTTGGGTATCAATTCAAATTCTAGATTAAATAATTTGTCAAATCTATAGTCTCTCTTTTTTTTTTTGACTAAAGGTCAAAGATAATTTTTACATTTGTAAGTAAAAAATAAACAAATAAATAACTGTTTAAAACATTTCTTTGATTCTGACTAGACCATTGTAATTTTCTCCTTTAATATTCCTTAATTTGCTCAATTATTTTCATTCCTCTTAATTTCCTTGTCCACATATAAAATTCCAGAACAGGGATGTGTAGTAAAACGTTGACTTGGTCTTATCAATAATAGTGCAAACCAAGGGTACTTAATGTTACCAGTATAACAGTTCACTTTTTAACTAGTGATAGCTGACTTAGTATGGGATACAACATTACAGCTGTTTTATTTTTTTTTAAATAAAATAATACCTTAATTTATTTGTATTCCACCGGCATGAATACATTCATTGCAAATTGCATGCACATAAAAGGGAATCCATTTGTAAACTACATAATATCTTAACAATAAATAGTATTTGATCTAATACATGATGGTAGTGCATTTCTTGTTAAAACTGCAAGCTTTTACCAAAATGAAAACAAACTCTTATTCTCCTTATAAATATTTTAAATATTTTTTAAGTACATTTCATAACAAGTATATAAAAATAGTATTTTTAGATAAATTAAGAGGTTTCATTTACATGACAAACAACGTGCAACAACTAACCACTCTCTACCAGCTCTATTTGATTGATTGTCTAGATGACATGCAGGGATAATTGTCCCTTTGCCTTCACAGAACTGACAAACAGATCAGCAGGACCCACGGTCACCTGAAGCAAACAGTGCCATAGACATTGTTTGGGAACAACAGTCAGACACCCAGGGAAAACCTCTGCTTCGATGAACAAAAGCCACCCAAGATAGTTCTTTTGTCCTAGACTTCCAGCTGCTCTGACCCTCAGGGTCTTTGGACTATCACAAAAGTCTGCCAAACAGACCAGTAAGTTATATTTGTATATAAAATGCTTTTCAACATGCTTCTAGAATCTAGAATTTATTTTTTTTTTCCTATAGTATGAACTGGCAGTACCTTTTCTTACTTTCTATAAATCTGAATTTTCATGTTTGTAAGTCTCTACGATTGCCAGAGAAAAGGTCAAATAAATCAGTCATGCAGTACTCTCTAAATTTAAAACTGGCAGCTGTGGAACATGCTTCGAGTACTGCTTCACTGTTTCTCATACTGCTTCACTGTTTCTCATTATACGTCTATGGCTTGGTAATCTTTATCTTTAACATCCCTTGTGCTTGTCACAATGTCTACTGGGGAATCTGGGGTCTGTGCAGAAACTATTCCGGCTGTTCCTTCCAGGTCCCACGATCCCGGCAGGTTCTCAAGGCTTAGTGAGCTGATTGCTCCTTGGCTAAAGCTACCTTCCTCAGATCTGCTGGGGAGCACGAGGTGTAATGATGTCTCTGATGAAGAGCATACTGAAGAAGAAAGAGTTGCTGAAATAGACTGAAGAGGAGTCAAGGTAGTGTCTGAATGGGAAGAGGTGCATCTTATAAATTGCAAATTGTCTTTCTGAATTACCTGATACTGGGAGGGGGAATTGTGAAGGCCTGGTGTATAATAAAATTCACCGTCCATAGAATTTTGAAGGTTGGGTTCAGTTCTTTGGGGACTGCTGCCTACAGAGGACAGATCTGTATTCCAAATGTCACATAGTGTGTTGCCACGGGAAAGTTGTGCTTTGGTGCAAGTAAAGTTCCCAGCTTGCATGTGCGTGCAAGGTTGATGTGTAGTCCAAGCCATTCGAGACTGCAGACTTTCCAGGGTGGGACTTCGAGATATGCCGTGCACAGCACAGAACCCTGGAGGCTTCTGGGATGTGAGCAGGTTTTCCAGAAGGTGCATCATGTTCTTCATATTCTTACTTAATTGAGAGACTTCTTGAGTTAAAGTTGTCACCTGTTATGGTAGGGCAAAACATCACAGTATTTATTTATGCAGTTAGGCCTGAAATACACACATACATAACTTTTTTCCTTGTAACAATATCAGCTTTGATCTGTGGTACAGTGTCTTTATTTTAAAGAAATACGCTACTAATAGATGTGTGGGAAATAGTCCATCCATCTACCTTACCACGCTACATGCTACACTTCCTGTGGCATATTGGAATAATTAAAGCGACTCAATTAAAATGTATGATGGAAACACTGTGGGCATAATTCACCTGATTTGAAATGATACTCTGTATGTAAGGAATGGCCTTAAAGTCAGAACTGAGATGATTTCCAGTGGCAATGTGACATCAGTAGCTTCTTGATCAATCATTAAATATTTCAATGCACAAACCTTTTTTATTAACCAATTTTATACTCATGAATGATACAAAACTGAGGTCTTGTGAAGTCTTGTTCAGAAATACACATGGGCCATCTTCATAATAAAATAAAAGAAACGATACCCAAAGTTGTCAGATGCAAGTAATATATGGAAAATCTGGTGAACTACTTAAAAAAAAAAGAAAAAAGAAAAAAAGAAAAGAAACTGGAAACTCTCAAATTCACTTTCTACCTCTAAAAATTTAAACAGAATAAAGCCTATGAAACAGTTTGCTTCCATGTAGTTATGTTTACATTTGAAAAGTGTTCCATATAACACTGAGACAGTAATCCATAGCATAGATTACTCTGATATGTATGCAAAAGAATGAATTATATTTTGTATTAGACCTTTTTTTTTTAAAAAAAAACCCCACTGATAGCATCCACGTAATTACATGAATTACATGAAGTCTTTAATGTCCCCAAAACTGCTGGTTTGGGTGAGAGTTAGATTAACAAATTCTGAATTTATGTCATAAAGTAAATTGATATATGAACATTAACAGGGATGTTCTTTAGGACATTATAAGGATGTGCTGAGAAATCAAAAGCTTAACTCAAACACAGAAGTGACCCACTCACCATTACAAATGTGTTTGTCTTTTTCCTTTCTTAAGGAAAAGTTTGTAGGAAGTTCAAATCAGTCAATTATTTTTAATAAATATAAATTAACCTATCAAGAGTTAGAAATGAATTTTGTCTCTGTGGTAGCTAATCAATCTATTTTAGGTCAAACCACTGTCGTTACTGTTAAAATAGAGCTTGTCATACTGACACTGATGAAAATACTCTGTTGAAAAAAGACATGACTGCACATTTATCTTCAGAACGATAAACCACCTGTCAAAAAGAAAAAAGGCTAATTCAGGGGGTCTTTCTTTGCCCTGAAGTAAATACAGTGTGTATTAGGTGCCCTATACAGATTAGTTTTCATGTAATCAGAAATAGAAATACAATTTTCATTTTTCTGACAGGATGGTTCCAAAGAATTCTGATGGAAAGATATTTCAGGATGAGTTTGACTGCGTTACTACAGGCACAATAATTTTAAAGAAATCCTGGGTTAGAAGGAAGCTCCAATACAGCTCCTACATCTATTAGTTTGTCTCTGAGCTAAGAGTTCAAACCCATCATATTGTTTAATAGTTTTGTAATGATCACACTGGATTCCCTGGAGGGAAAATGCTTAAAGGGAGGAGCTCTTGGGTGGAACATTACAGGATCTCTCTCTGTCTCTGCACCTCTTTCTCTGCCTTGTTACCTAGTTAAGTTATGCTAGATAGAAAATAACCATGAAATCTTCTGCCAGCTGAGATTAAACTTCAAATGCCTGATAGGTCACTTGAACTTCAGTTAATGTAAGGGATTAAAATATGTTAGAAAAGTGGTCTGTGAACAGGCTTCCCATGGTGTCAGAGCAGCCAGAGAAGGTTCTTGGTACTGTCAGAGTGTAAGGAAACACACTGTGAGATTTCTGGACAAATCAACCATGCAAGAGATTCTGTGCTCCTTTGGGAACTTGGAGATGGCATTGCAAAACCTCCAAAAGCTTCTTTGGGAAGAAAGGGGAAGGACAACCAAACCCATGGCTACCTAGATTCAGCGGCATCAGTTCTTTTTAGGATCATCACTGGCCCCTTCTAACAGATAAAGCAACTTTGTTTTCTGTGCCTAGCTTCCCAACTTGCATCCATTTTACAGGGCTTTCTGCAGTCGAGCAGAAAGGAAGACATGCTACCTTATGATTATGCACCTTTACCCAAACTATGAATGCTGTATGAAAATACCTGCAACTTTAAACTATCTTGCTTGGTTTGGTCCATGTTTTTCTCTTCTATTTTTGGTTACTTAAAGGCTTTTTAAAAGTTTAATTATTTTTAACATGTTTCTTTTGACAGTTAATTGAGACAATACAGCAAAAATCAATCCCAGCACCAGTACTTGCGGCAGTCCTGAGTTTCTGTTCATTACAACTTGCTCTATTGCCCAGATACTATTTTTGATATAGCAGCTAGTTTTTAGAGTGCTATCTTCTCATAAGCTTGCTCTCACACAGTCATAGGAATTGACCTGATAAACCAGCTTTTGATGTATGCTTTAATAGTTTCCAGTAGTATGCTAGTTTAAGATCCAAAGTGATTATGCCAAACTTCATTGAGCACTATTTAGTGAGACAGATTTGGACCAATACTGCTTGACACATAGGCAAAGCAAATATGTAATTCTCTGGATAATATTAAACCTTTTCTGGATTTTAGAAACTGTTAGTCTTACTGGATTAAACATCCAATACCTGTACTACTAATTACCATCTATCTCTATATGATTTTATACTTACATAGTATAATATTACTGTTATTATTGATACTATACTGTTTATGGTGTCCTTTTTACACCCTGCAGAGATTCTGGAGCAGATGAAAATAAGCAGGTGTAACAGGGAACAATTTTATCAATAATGCTGACAATTTAATAGCGCTCCAGAAGGTGCAAAAGAACAAAGATTAAAAGCAAAAGAAATTCTGAGTCTATGAAACAGAAATTAAAAGCAGTGCAGTTTCCTCCTGAGTGAAAAGACTAATTCCTTGTGTGCTGGTAAGGCTATTCTCTTTTCAGTTCAGTGATTACCACCAGGCAATACAAATAATTGTACAAATGGTTCCCACTGTGCTAGGCAGACAGCTTTAAAATAATCTGTTAGATCTCAAATATAATTGAAATGCTGCCTTAACAGTTTCTAGGATTTGGAAAAGACACTGCAATATCTTCTGATGTAGAAACTGGGATTTATACAGATTTAGGTTGAATTAGCAAGAGGTATTTGGTACTAAGGCTGGTCAAAAGCAATGCTCTGGTACCTTTTTAGCAGACCTGTTAGAAAGAAATATTTCAAAACAGAGGTTAAAAAAACAGATTTTTTTTTTTAACACATGGACACTTCCTGGTGCCCTGACCAATATAAATTTTAGTAGTTGTATTTTGCATTTTCAAATTACTTCAGCAGTTTCAGTAGGAAGAGTATTTTTCTTTACTACCAGTATTAAACTGTTTTGCAGTTTGAATACTTTGTTCCATGTAGTTAAGTATGAATGGGGTGATTGTATTTAAATCTTTCTATAAATGGGATGAGAAGCTCTATATAAGGTAAGATGATGATTGCGGTTGTTGCTTTGTTTAAATAGTATTGGCTAAACAGTTTGTCTATTATATATTCCAGCATTTAAATTTTTTAATGTTATATTTTCTACTAGAATACCTATCTGCAATAAGCGTCTTTTTTTTTTTTTTTCCGATTAGAAGCCTAATTCATTGGTATTTTTTTCTCTCTGTGGTTTGCTCCCTTTTGCAATTCAAACTTCACCCGGACATCTTCCTACTATGACTCTTTCTGAACTCCCAAAAGTGAAGAAGAAAATTTGCTTCTTGAGAAATGGAAGTTGTATTTTGGCAATGTGGGGAAGCTGCCTGGCTTGCATTGTATAAGGCTGCTTCTCTATTCCCTTTCTTGGTGTTTCATTGGTTCTTCTATTCTGGTTCTTCATAAAGTCAGGAAGACTTTCAGCCAGAATGAGTTGTCTTTCAAGGCTCAGATTAACTAACTGCATTGTTGACTCAATGAATGAAACAAGAACTGAGCTGAGACAGACTTTTTCCTGATCATCTATCAACATCTCTGTGACCACTGGTGGTATGGTGGCAAACATTTCTGATTTAATGGCACTTTAGGAATTAAGCTAGTTGCAAGAGAAAACAAAAAAAAAACCCACACCCAAAACAAAACAAAACAAAAAAAACCCCCAAACCCAACACCCAGTATAGCTAATCTGAGTTCAGATTAAGTGTATAGTATTTGTGCAATGATGTGATGGTTCACTTTCAGTGTAATCAGAAATCTGGAAGACTGTGAAATTGGCTTTATCATGTAGAATAAAATTTGCTGGTTTCTCTGTTGTCTCATGAGCCAGCTCTTGGGTAGTCCCAGGGCAATCAGTCTGTCTGAGTAAATTAGGATGCTAAGATTATTGCTGTTGCTATCAAACAAGTAAAGACAGAACAGAAAAATATAAAGGACTAGGTAATTTAAGTGTATTTAAGTCAACAGGACTCACATGAAATTCAGTCTAGAAAAGGGTTGCAAAACTGCAGTTCTAATAATTTGTGGCTCTTCATTGTTGGATGTGGATGCTGCCTTCAGGTTGCATAGAACCAGGACAGTGTCAGCATGACGGTGGCAATAAGAAAACCAGGTTTGGAAATTACTGCTTCAAGAGTTTCAGAAAGTATTAGGGACAAACTCTGACTGTCTAGCTACTGACTGATATCAAATGGAGGATCATGGAAATCCCAGGTGGCTGGGAGAAGAGAAGCTGTTAATGTGTACTGTTGAAAGAAAGCCTGAGGTTGTATATATGATACTGGGCAAAAATATTAAGTAAACAATTTCTATAAGCATCTAAAGGAATAGTTAAAAGGGAACAGGCAACATACATTTCTCAAGAATAAACCATGGCAAAACAATGTAATTCTCTTCTTTAACTGAAAAGCTGGTAATAGATAAGAAAACTGTAGATGTAATAT